GACCAGGTTTGTTGGAAACCATCCAACAAATGTGAATTCACAGTTGATTCGTTTTATTGGCAGTTGGTGGGACTGGGGAGGATAACATACTCATTTTTCCTTCAAGACAGATTTGGAATTCCAGGGGTCCGCCTAGAATTGCTTTTTTCGTGTGGGAGGCTTGTAATTGACACTTTATAAGCTGAAGACTAGAGGCCAGATTGTGGTTAATGGGTGTTTTATGTGCAAGAAGGCTGAGGAATCTTGCTGCCACTTCTTCATTGCGAGGTGGTCCACGATTTATGGTGCCAGATTTATAAACTGATTGGGATCAATTGGGTCATTGCTAGTTCGGTTTTTGATGAGATCTGGGCTTGGAATGGGATTGACCTGAAAAAGAATATTGTTAAAATTATCCCTTTAACTTTTTTTTTGGGCCATCCGGAAAAAAAGATAAGAGGGCGTTTGATGGTTTTGAGAGAGATATTAATAGACTAAAAGATTATGGTTTAATTATTTTGGTAACATTGTGTTGGGTCATGACATCATTAGAGATGAAGATTTTGGGGATTTTCATAACTTTATAAATTTGTATATGGGTGGTACTCCATTGGTACCCTGTTTATATATATTTACACTTTTTATCTAAAAAAAATAATAATATGGTAACTAGCCGTCAATGAGTGAGAGAGGAGCTGAGAGGAGGAGAGATAATGAGCAAGTTGAGCTAATAGAGCAAATAGTACGGAAGGTAATCTTGTCATTTCAGATGAATTTTACATGTGCTAGGTATCTGAGTTTTTTGTTGACTCCTAGCAGAAATTGTCAGTAGGTTATAACTTGAGACGTCTAAAAAGTCAAGTCTTAAAGAGAGAATTGGAAATATAAATCCTATTTTGAAACACTAATCAAAGTAGATGGCACTGTTATGTAATTTTCCATTTTAATTATTTTTACAGATTTGAAAAGTCAACTTAAAAGGACTGTAGGTTGGCCCCTGCGGCTTTCATGAATGTTAGAGAAGGATATCTGCAGTTTCTTCCCTTCCGAAATGTTGTGTGCGTAGGCATGTAGGCTCTAATATCATATGCTATCCTATTCTATATTGTAAAGTATAGTAGGATGCTTGTGCTCATTTATTAAATGGATAAAACTTTGTTAGAACATCTGAATGTCAAGGATTAGTTTTTGGTTAATTTTTCATGTGAGGATTGTTGTTAACTTCTATCCTTAACCATTACAGGTGGTCAGTCTTCATTGGCTGATTACTGTACGTACTTTGTGGCCTACTCTGATGGATCTTGTACGGACATCAATAGTGCACGGGCACCTGACAGAATGTTAGGGGAAGTGCGAGGGAGCAACTCAAGGTGAATTTCGTAAAATTGGTCATATATATATTTATTTAAATCCTTGAGGCACTTTGATGTTTATTCTATTGGATTTATCATGGATATAGACCTTTTTTTTTTTACTTGAAGTGGCTGTTTAGTGTATAACAATCTGATACTAAAGCTCGGAGCACCAGACTCATACACCTAAATTGTGGGGAGGATTTAATGGTTAATCGATATAGTGATGAAGGACAAAGAGAGATCCAAGACAATACTTATAGAAAATTTATTACTAACTAAAACTGGAGATTTTAGACCTCGATAATTATATCAATAACTCAATATTTGCATATAAAATCAACAAATAGTCTTCCCAATAGCTAAGTTAAGGTATCTTAGTTGCGGCTACTAGAATACAATTAGAATAGAAATTTTTGAGTCAGTGTAGGGAATCTAGTAAATGGAAAAATAAGCTAATTAATTAACTTACCCATAATAGAGAATGATTTTTTGAAAGATATAACGGAAAATAATTAAATAAGATCTCTGTGTTAGAACCCAACTAATAGTGGTTAAGTTTGTTAGACATAATTAGTTAAGTTGTTTTGATTAGTTAGAAATTAGTTTCGATTAATCACCTTTCAGCTATAAAGGTGGTATTGGAATGATTCTACAGCAAACCTGTGCTTCTTCAATTCTTTTCTTTTCTCTCCTTCTTCTTCCTTTATTTCTTCACAGATCAGGACAGGTTCCTGACAAATAGTACCAGAGCTGTTGATTATCGGTGATCACTATTTCTTCTTCCGTGTCTTCCTTCTCTTTGCTTCTCCCTTCTAGCTTTTTCTTATCTCTATGTATCCTTTACCTTTTGAGTCTCTTTTACTCCTTTTTTCTTCTTCATTCCTACAATTTAGGCAAATCCATCCTCACCATTTTGATGAAACACTAACTTCAATTACATCAAAGGGTTGAAACAAAGGGAACCTGGTGATGGCGGATTGGAGAAAGTTCCAGCGGATTGACGAGGTCGTTAAGGAGTTAGATGAGAAACGCAAAAAATTTGCTGAGAAAATGAAAGAGTGCCAGCAGCAGCATTTGGCGAGACTAGAACAGGGATGAACTCGTGGACATGACTCAGGACTTGTTATAGCCTCTAGAGCCTTCTGCACACGGACCTTGTTCTTCAATTCTACCAGAATCGGATTGAGCTTCTCCATCTATAAGATCCCCAAAGCTGGACAAAGCTTCGATTTCAGTAAAAATTGCTCACAAGAGGGCGAATATCAGTTGGACTGCAAAATTAAGATATGAAGACGAATGCATGACTGAGCTGTTATTTTCCTATCAATTTCCATCAGCTTTGCTGGTCGTGAGTTTTCGTCGATGTGAACAGAAACTCAGGGAAACACTAAAAATATTGTGTGGCTGCATTTACTCTCCTACATGTGGAAGAGTTGTCCATCATCTTCAACTTTGCTACCAGTTCTTCCTACGGAAAATTTTTCTTCTGTTAACGATGAGATAATAATGGAGACTGTAGAATCTGTGGTGGTTGAGAAGTTGGATGAATTTGTAAAGGAGCCAAAGCATGTTCAAAATGTTGGAAATGAAGGTGGCTTGGTGAATGAGCATGAGGTGCTTGTTAAAATATCCCCAACCACGTCCATGCATTGCACTACAGCAAGGACCCTGGCGCACCCTCTTTTGAATTATTATTTCAAAAAAAAAAATCCCCAACCACAAAATTTTCCGCATTTGTTTCCATTGACTTCTCTTATAACTTCACCTGATCTCACGCTTGGTGTTGATGGAGACATGGAAGTTTTGATTGTTGCAGATGGAAATCCAGATGAAATGTGGAGTAGTAAATGAAAGATCTAGTAGAGAAGTACTTTGAAATTGTTCCTGAACAGTTATACGGGACTGATGAGAAGATTCTACCTAACCATATATACCAGGTTTTCAAAACAAATCCTTGACTAAAACAGTGGGTTTTTTTGGCAACTAATGGCAAATAAGAGAAAATCATTATGTTTGCAGTTAGTAGAGATGAATTTGCATTAATTGATATTTGGGTATTACCGAATTTCATCCCTGTCAAACAAGTCTAGTTACACTCCTTGAAGATTCTTTCACACAAAACCGTATTCCACTTGAAATTTCTTTCACCGGAACTGCTTATATGGCATTAAAATATGCAGATCCTCTCTATAGTGTCATATTTGTTCTACGGAGGGGACAGTTATGGTGGCAATGAAGACTTGAGATACCAGGTTCATCCTTGAGGATAAGAATGCTTTCATGGGGAGGGTATCATGAGGATCCAACTAATAGTGGTTATGTTTGTCATAAATACTAAATTAAGTTGCTTTAATCAGTTAGAAGTTAGTTTCAATTAATTAATTTTCAGCTATAAAATATGGTTCGTTGGAATGATTTTTATATCAAAGAAAGCATGAATGAGTATTGAATTTCTTTCTCTACAATAAAGCTGTGCTTCTTCAAAATCTTCTTCCTTTATTTCTTAACAAATCAGGACAGGTTACTGACACACTTCTAATAGAAAATAATAAACTCACACTATTGAGAGGCCCCTCTGTAATAGTTTCTAAACAAGCTAAATACCTTATAATGCATAAACATTGGAAGTACATATCTCTTATTGGATTGAACTACGTCCAACTTATGGTTATCATATTCTCCATTTTTCCACCCCACTTGGTGAAGACTTAACCTTGGGTTTTAAAATGCTGAAGAAGAAAGGATATGTAAATTGGGACTTGTTTTCCTCATAATTTAATGCTTGGAAAATTGAAATTCTCATTGGAAAACATGAATACTTTTAGGCTTGACAAAATATAAAATGAAAGAATCGCCAAGCTTTGATTATCAGCATTAGTTGAAAAATATTTTGTTGTAGTTTCTTCAAGTAGGGCGTCTTTCGCCTGCATGGAGTTCAAATAAACTAGAATACCTTTCTCCAACGTGGGCAATGTTGTAGCTTGTTGCAAAATTAGAGGATTGGTCATTAGATAACTCAACTTGATTATAGGAAGCATAACATCTCTCACGATTTTTTTTATTATCTCAATTACCTAACTTGCATTCATACCTTCGAGGTCATTAAGATGTAGCTGTTCTATTAGAACTTTACTCCCTCGCCAAGTGATTCACATTCTGTTCTGCATCCTCTACATTATGTTCGATTAAAGTTCCAAAGATGTTAGGCTCTTTTATAAGGAAGGTACAAGTTTTTCTTCACTTGAGCGCCTTTTAATAATCTTTTCAAACATTTCAATCTTATTACTTACTTCATGGGTGACTATTTTTAAAGACCCATAATCATCTTTAGAAGGATATAAGTTGTCATACTCTTCCTGTGACTAGTCTTTCTTTGCATGTGAAACACTTCCCCGCTACTCTTAAGTCTTAGGAAATAATCTTCGATTTCCATAAGATGGCAACTATCATATAAGAAATATCCTTGTAGCAAATCTCATGCCCAAATAGCATTTTTATAAATTTCATAAGTAATAAAACCTTGCAAGCTACCAGCAAATGCAAGCTCAACCTGTCCAGAATTTCTCCAGAAAATTTGGCTTAAAATGGCTTGAGAACAATTGAGCTGAAAGCTTGGCTCGACTCTGAATGCAACTCTCTAGGAAATGACTTGGCTTGATGGCAGCTTGGCTTCAGAACAGCCTGTGTTGGATTTTACTCTCGGCTTCATGTGCATGAGTCACATGCATATTTCCAACAACCTTTCCGTGTTGGTATTCTGCCCATGGGTTCCTTTGACATGCTGTTTCCAGATAAGGGATTGGGTTATAGTCGGTGTAACCAATAAGGTTGAATTTTGGCAAGGCCAACAGCAGCCCTGAGTTTTAGTGACGAGTGTGGCAATTTCAGGGGGAATGTGGATGTGTTCCTGGGAAGAATCTGGTCAGTTCACTCTGGTGCTTGTGGAAGGGGTGGTGTCATCCATAGTGCTGTGGTGGCTGGTGTTTGGCAAAGGCTAGTGCTTGCTTGTTGGGTCTGTTTTATTCTCTGTTGTGAGGCATCAGTTCAGGGGTGTTATAATTTTTTTTGGTTGATGTGTTTGGGAAATTTAGTGTTGAGGACTTTAACTCAGAATAATGATTGATAGTGTGATTAATTCATGCTAGACTGTAATACTAGTTGATGTAGTACAAAGGGAGTTAATAATATTTTTAGAAAATTTATAATGAACCAGAATTGGAGTTTATAGATACTAGAGTGACAATATTGAAATAGGAATTTTTAAGTAAGTATAGAGAATTTATTAAATTGAAAAATAAACTAATTAATTGGATAGCTTTTAGTAGTAATAACTAAATAGGATCCTAGCTAAATAGAAAATAATAAATTTGCACCAATGCTAAACCTATAGGTAAGTTCATAAATAACCTAAACTACCTTGATAATATATATTACAATTACATAAATATCTTTCAGTATTGAATATCCAATTTAGTATCTCTTTATTCTCTGTCACATAGACTTACAGGCAACCATTTTAAGACATTTTATTGCTGATAGAATATCTCATTATTCATATGCAGGTGCATGGCCTCATCGCTAGTACGTACTGGTTTTGTTAGAGGTTCCATGACTCAAGGAAATGGCTGTTATCAGCACAGATGTGTAAATAACTCCTTAGAGGTATGATTCAGAACTTCCAAAATGGCTTGCCCTTTTCTTAAAATCTGTATGTTCATCATGCACCAAGCCTCTTCTAAACCTCACACAGGCATGTGTTTGCAAATTTGTCTACTATGTGGTGTAAATCCACGGCAAAATAGGAAGAAGTTAGGTTGGAGAGGATTTTCTGGAATAAGTGCTCTACTGGTGATTTCACCAAAAAGAAAAGGTTGTGCTGGAGGGATGCATGCAGAAGATATCATATAGTGGATCTGGTGTATATCAGTTTCAGGTTTAATGATAATCTAAGGATTTGATTTGTCCAAACATTTTTTTTCTAATTTCTAGGATTCTTAATGTTTAGTAGAATTTGATAATGATAGATGTCTGGTTTGGCTTTTTGCTCATTTCTCGATATATAAGACCTGGGATTCATAGGAAGTTTCTGCCTTGGCGAAGTTGAAAACTTATGCACCCGGATCTTTGACGTGTAACATTTAACTCAGAATGTTATTGTGCAATCCGTGTTAGATCACAAAGTGTTTGCCATCATATGCTATTTTGATAAGTGTGACAGTAATTATTATGCTGGAGTTCCTGAACTTTTCCCTGCAGTCTTCCTCTGATTGTGGTCATAGTTAATCTCCTGTAGGTTGCTGTAGATGGGATTTGGAAAGCGTGTCCTGAATCTGGTGGACCGGTTCAGTTCCTTGGTTTTAATGGTAATTTTGCTGTTTTATCATTCTCAAGAAAAATTTACTGTTATATCTAGTTAATATCTTTTTTCTTTTTGAGAAGAATGTCTTGATATTTTTCTCTATATTTCATAATTTCTTTTGTGTTCTTTTTAGGTGAATTGATTTGTCCGGCCTACCACGAACTTTGTAGCAGTGTCCCAGTTTCTGTGTTTGGGCAGTGTCCCAATTCCTGTAATTTTAATGGAGATTGTGTTGATGGAAAGTGTCGCTGTTTTCTTGGGTTTCATGGTCATGATTGTAGTAGTCGTAAGCGCCTAGATCCTTCTCTTAGCACTTAGTGACCAGCTTGAAGACCAAAACTTGATTTTCAGAAATTTTTAGTTTTGGGCTCTTTTATTTGTTTTTGTTTTCCTCAAGTCAACTTAATTTTGTGCTCTTTCCATCCAGGATCCTGTCCCAGCAATTGTAATGGACATGGCAAATGCCTGATGAACGGGATCTGTGAATGTGAAACTGGTTTTACTGGCACTGACTGTTCCACCGGTAATGCAAACTTGATTACTTAGCCTGTCCAAATTTCCGTAATATGTCATAATATATATGTACATAGACACACAGACACAGATATAAACATTTACTTTCTCACTTGTACATGACAAAGTTGAGACAAACTTTTTGAAACCATTGCGTTGGGGTTTTATATGCAGCTGTATGCGATGAACAATGCAGCCTTCACGGAGGAGTCTGTGATAATGGAGTTTGTGAATTCCGCTGCTCTGACTATGCCGGGTATACATGCCAAAACAGCTCCATGCTCCTCTCCAGCCTATCAGTCTGCAAAAACGTACTGGGGAGTGATATATCTGGGAAACACTGTGCGCCAAGTGAACCGAGCATACTGCAACAGCTCGAGGAAGTTGTTGTCATGCCCAACTACCACCGCCTGTTCCCTGGTGGTGCTCGGAAATTATTTAATATCTTTGGCAGCAGCTACTGTGATGAAGCTGCCAAAAGACTAGCTTGCTGGGTAAGTCGCTTCTCAATAGATATCTGTTTCCAGGATTCCTTTTTACGCATCATTTTCTCCCTTGATTTTTCTATTGGATGTTGCCTTATTTCTTTTGTGAATTATATTCCTTAACAGAATGAGAGAACTTGGTTTTGTGTGCTCAAATGTGAAAACTTTTTCCCAAACTAAAAGTAGAATCCATTCTCATGAAATAAAATAGGAACAGAATTCTTGCCCCTAAAGAATTCAGGCTGGTGTTCAAACATAAAATACATTCTTATTCCATATGCATGCCTGTAGTTTATTTCTTAATTAAGTTTCTAATTAGTTCTTAGTTCTAACTGCTGTAATAGTCTTAATATGCATAATTGAAATACAATTATTTGA